ACAGTGGTGTCTAAACAGAGGTACGACACCAGACAACACCATGTCCGAGAAAGCAACTTCATTAAAGACGCGGTCCCGCGCTACATGTTCTACTACATACTCAAGCGTATCATCAATGGGGTCTGCCGCAGCAAAAGCAAGAGCGAGAGCAGAGGCAGCAAAGGCACGCATGTCCTACGCCGAAGAGGAAATGAGCCTCAAGCTAGAAAAAGCTAAGCTAGAAGCCTCAATAGAAATGCTCAATTACAAGAAAGAGACAGCTGCAGCCGTAGCTGAGGCCGAAACCCTTGAAGCTGCGGTAGATGCAAACAGTGAAAGACATAGTTTCATGTTAAATTTGGACTCCAGTCCTTTGGAAGCTGCACAACGCACAGAACAACACGTGATTGACCAAGCCGAACCACAAAACGCAGACGCTCAGCTACTTGATGATGGTGTTGCAACAAAAAGAAGGCCAAGCCCTAACTACGAAACTTCAGCTTCATCTATCAAATCTGAAGCCAACTCATTCCATCCGACCCAAGCCAATATAGCTTCCCATCATACACATGGCCATAATGCAGCTTCTCAACCAACTCGTCTCACCTCACAGCAGCCTTACATCTACAAAGATGAAAAGGTCGATAGGACACGCAATGTTCGGTTTGACAATCACAATGCCACTCCTGAGCAAGGTCTTGAACCTCAAAACGACAAAGGTCATCCTGCTCTTAAATCTTATCCCACATCTTCAAACACCGATAATAACAACTCCAACATTAGCGACTTTGTGAGATATTTTGCTCGTCGTGAGCTTGTGGCAACAGGCCTACTTCAATTCAATGACAGACCTCAGAACTACAGAGCCTGGAAACGCTCTTTTCAAAACGCAACCAGAGGTTTGGACCTGGCACCAAGCGAAGAAATGGATCTCCTGTTTAAGTGGCTCGGCAAAAAGTCAGCAGAACACGTCGAGCACATAAGAGCAATACACATCAATCATCCATTAGCAGGCTTGGCTATGATATGGGACAGACTTGAACAAACTTATGGCTCTGCAGAAGTAATAGAAGATGCTCTGTTCAAACGTATCGACGCCTTTCCAAAAATAACACATCGAGATTATTCTAAATTAACAAAGTTGAGTGATCTTTTAATGGAACTAGAGTCAGCCAAAGCTGAAGGAGACCTGCCCGGCCTCTCTTTACTCGATACAGCGAGAGGCGTCAACCCAATTGTACAGAAGCTCCCCATCGGTCTGCAGGAAAAGTGGGCGTCAGTTGGGGCATCCTACAAGCGGCAATATCACGTTTCATATCCCCCCTTTGCCTGCTTCGTAAACTTTGTTAGCCATGAAGCTAGTGTCAAAAATGACCCAAGTTTCAACTTTTTTCACTTAGACCTGTCTCCCAGGACAGAAAAAACAGCTTGGAAGCCAAACAGACAGCGAGAAGTCTCTTTTCACAAAAAAGAGATATTTCCAAAAGCCATCTCTGATCCTAGGGAGCCCTCAACGAAATTCGATGACTGTGACAAACTGTGTCCAATCCATAAAAAACCTCACCCTATACGCAAATGCCGTGCATTCAGAGAAAAGCCCATCGAAGACCGTAAGACATTCTTAAAAGAGAATAATGTCTGTTTCAAATGCTGTGCTTCATCATCACACATTGCAAGGAACTGCACATTTAATGTTCGATGTTATGAATGTAAAAGTGAGAAACATCACACAGCGCTTCACCCTGGACCTGCACCCTGGGTTGAAGGCACGGACTCGGCTCCAGAGCATGGCGGGGAGGAGGATAGCTCTCCACAACCCCATGTCACCACCAAATGTACAGATGTCTGTGGCGGAGACGTGACGGACCGATCCTGCTCTAAAGTATCCCTCGTGAAAGTGTATCCAGCCGGCCACGCTGACAAAGCAGTGAAGATGTATGTGATTCTGGACGAAGAGAGCAACAGATCACTAGTTCATTCACAGTTCTTCAAAGTCTTCAACGACCAAAGTCCAAGTGCTCCTTACTCATTGAAAACATGTGCTGGAGTAAAGAAAGCGACAGGAAGAAGGGCCAGTGGCTACATTGTGGAATCTTTGGATAGGACCGTCAGCATCCCACTACCCAGCCTCATAGAATGTGATGACATTCCAAATAACAGAGATGAGATTCCAACTCCCAATGCAGCTTTTCATCACGCACACCTAAAGTCAGTTGCACACCTCATCCCAGATATCGACCCACAGGCCCCAATTATGCTTCTCTTAGGTCGGGATATTATCAGAGTCCATAAGGTCCGCAAACAGGTCAATGGCCCACACAACCTACCTTATGCTCAGAAGTTGGATCTGGGATGGGTCATCGTGGGTAACGTATGTTTAGGTCGCGTTCACAAACCACCGACAGTCAGCGCCTTCTACACGATCACCACGGAATGGGGACGCCCTACTCTCTTTGACCCGTGTCCTAACGTGTTCTGTGTAAAGGAAAAATACAGTGACACCCAGGCCACAAACCACCTCCAAACACATCCTGAGGAGATATCAAACTGTGATGTTGACAGCTTAGGACATAATATATTCAAGCAGACCAAAGACGACAACAACATTGCTCCGTCTATCCAAGACATCTCCTTCATGAAAATAATGAAAGAAGGACTAACAAAAGATGCAAACAACAGTTGGGTAGCTCCATTACCTTTTAAATGCCCACGTCAACGGCTCCCCAATAACAGGCCACAAGCATTGAACCGTCTCAAGTCGCTCAGGCGCAACTTTGAAAGGAAGCCTGAAATGAGAGACCACTTTCTCATTTTCATGGGCAAGATGTTCAAGAATGGTCATGCTGAGTTAGCTCCTCTTCCCAGTGAGGATGAAGAACAGTGGTACTTGCCAATATTTGGTGTGTACCATCCAAGAAAACCAAAACAAATACGAGTGGTCTTCGATTCCAGCGCCCAGTACAATGGTGTGTCGCTCAACGACGTGCTGTTGACTGGGCCTGATCTGAACAACACGCTGCTCGGTGTACTGATGCGCTTTAGAAAGGAAGCAATCGCCTTTACAACGGACATAGAACAGATGTACTATTGTTTCTCAGTAAGGGAAGACGATAGGAACTTCCTTCATTTTCTATGGTTCCAAGATAACGACCCCTCCAAAGACATTGTGGAGTATCGAATGACGGTCCACGTCTTTGGAAATAGTCCTTCACCCGCAGTAGCGATTCATGGACTTCACCAGTCTGTTCAGGTCAGTGAGCTCCACATCGACCCTGACGTCCAACGTTTTGCGATGCGTGACTTCTATGTCGATGATGGGTTGAAGTCCCTGCCCACAGTCGAAGCTGTGGTCAACATGCTGAAAAAAAACACAGGAAGTTCTCTCCAAATCAAACTTAAGGCTGCACAAGATCGCAGCAAACAACAAGGAGGTCATGGAGGCCTTTCCGCCGAAGATCGTACAAAAGACCTTAAAGACCTGGACCTCAGTGCAGATGCGCTGCCGATGCAACGTAGCCTTGGAATCAATTGGGACCTCCAGACCGACTGCTTCCACTTCAGCGTCTCTGAGGAGATAAAACCCTACACTCGACGGGGTATCTTGTCCACAATCAACAGCCTCTACGATCCTCTAGGGTTTGTAGCGCCAGTCACAATACAAGGTAAGGCTATTCTGAGAGAACTCACAATTGAGAAAGGTGACTGGGACTCGCCTTTGCCCCAAGAAATGGAGGAAGCATTGACATCTTGGAGAGCATCTTTGAAAGAACTGTCCCAGCTTTCTATTCCCAGAGCCTACACTACAACTTCGCCCCCAGCAGCTGTCAGAAGGGAATTGTGCGTCTTTTCTGACACATCCACGAAAGCTATCGCCGCTGTGGCATATCTAAAAGTAACTGACTGTGCTGGAAATAACCATGTGGGATTTGTAATGGGCAAAGCCAAGCTGACCCCCCGTCCTGAGCAAACAATTCCGAGACTGGAACTTTGCGCAGCAGTGCTTGGAGTGGAGTTAGCAGACTTAATCTTGGCAGAACTAGACCTTCAGCTCGATGAAACAACCTTCCACTCAGACAGCAAGGTAGTCCTTGGCTACATTTCTAATGAAACCAGGCGCTTTTATGTATATGTAAGTAACCGGGTATTACGTATCCGAAGGTCCTCTCACCCAGATCAATGTTGCTACGTGTCAACAGAACAGAACCCTGCGGACCACGCTACACGTTCTGTCACTGCAGGCCGTTTGAATGACACAAACTGGCTGAGTGGACCCAAATCTCTGTACACACCAGAGCCAAGTGCCTCAAAGAGCACCTATGAGCTTGTAGACCCGGGTTCAGACCCAGACATTCGCCCTCTGGTGTCCAATTTGAGTACTACAACAACATCCAAGCAGCTTGGTTCTCAACGATTCTCGAAGTTCTCATCCTGGAAGTCTCTAACTCGGGCCATTATTTGCCTCATACACATAGCCCATCTTTTCAACATGACCTTGAAGAACAGCCCTTGTAAGGGCTGGCATCACTGCAAAACAGGATACACTGTTGAGGAGTCAGATCAAGCGTCGCACATCATCATTCAAGCAGTACAGGAGGAAGTCTACAGTCAAGAGATCAAATGTATCCAAAAACATGAGCAGATTCCTAAAAGTAGTTCTCTCAAAAATCTGGATCCTTTCATTGATGCACACTGCCTTCTGAGAGTCGGAGGCCGCCTCCACAATGCAAACCTTGATCAGAGTGAAAAGACTCCAGTGATTATTCCTGGCAAACATCAGGTTGCAACCTTACTCATCAAGCATCACCACAAACAAATCTATCACCAAGGCCGTCTGTTTACAGAAGGGGCTGTCCGTACAGCTGGTTTTTGGATAGTTGGTGGCAAAAGAAAAGTGAGCAACATCATCCACCAGTGTATAACCTGCAGAAGTCTTAGAGCGCCACTTACAATTCAAAAGATGGCCAGTCTTCCAGCAGATCGTCTCTCGACAGAACCTCCTTTTACGAAAGTCGGGCTTGATGTGTTCGGCCCTTGGAGTGTCTCTTCACGTAGAACAAGAGGAGGCCATTCACACAGTAAACGATGGGCCGTAATCTTCACGTGTATGAGCGTACGAGCGGTTCATATTGAAGTCATAGAGTCCCTTGACACATCCAGCTTCATCAACGCGCTAAGGCGCTTTCTTGCTGTGCGTGGTCCTGTCAAACACATCCGCTCAGACCGTGGCACCAACTTTGTTGGTGCCTGCAAGCAGTTGAAGATACCCTCAAACATTGACAACACAACTGTGAAGTCTTACCTGTCAGGCCAAGGTTGCTCTTGGACCTTTAACCCTCCGCACGCCTCTCACTTTGGTGGTACATGGGAAAGAATGATTGGTCTTGCAAGGAGAATCTTGGACTCCATGTTCCTTCAGCTGAAGGACAAACTTACCCATGAGGTGCTGGTGACTTTCATGGCAGAAGTGACAGCCATTATAAATGGCAGGCCTCTTGTTCCTGTGACAACTGACTCTGAGGACTCATTTATACTCACTCCAGCTGCTCTTCTCACTCAAAAAGTGAATGTCCTTTCTGCTCCTACTGGAGAGTTTGGAGTTTCAGACCTCTACAAGCACCAGTGGCGGCAGGTCCAGCACCTGTCTAACACCTTCTGGGACAGATGGCGAAAGCAATTCCTCCCAACACTACAGGCACGCAAGAAGTGGCAGTCTACTCATCCGAACATCAACCCAGGAAGTGTTGTTCTCCTCAAGGATAGCCAAGTAACAAGGAATGAATGGCCTCTTGGACTGGTAACACAGACCTTCCCCAGCGAAGACGGGAAGGTGCGAAAGGTCGAGATCAAGGTTACACGAACAGGAGTGACTAAACTCTTTCTTAGGCCTGTCTCTGAGGTAGTGCTTCTTCTCCCCCCAGAGGCCCAGTGAAGTGAACTGTCTAGGATTTATTGAGTGGCATGTATTCACGCCAGGCGGGGAGTGTTTTGTTACAATTGTTAAGTCAGTATGTTATACGTTTTATTTTGAAACAGGAAGTGTCCTGTAACTTGTCAGGTGACTTATAATCAGGAAGTGAAGGAAGAGCGTGGCTCAGAGCCGCTGTTTTCGGTAGTTTTCCAATCCAGTTGAGTCTGCCTGCATCTTATGCCTTTTGATAGCATCATTGCATCATTGGTATGTATTGATTTCTTTTATTGTTACTTATGATCGCAGATGATTATTTTTGTGACAATGTTTAGTTTTGGGAAGTTTTATGCACAAAGTCCATCAAGTCATTAGTAACTCCGCTATGACTGTTGTTAAAGTTCATATCAGCAGTAAATACATAAAAAGCAGCGATTAAAAACAAAGCAATGTATTTCATTGAAGAATCAGTATATGTACATTGTGTGTATGTGTAAGGTTAAAGAGAAATCATTTTATTTGTATTCATTATGCCTTTTGTGTGTTTTAGTTTTACTCTTTCTTACGTCATTAAACCTGTGGGCAACGGGCACTGTCTTCAGAGTCGTGATGTCAGGAAGGAGTTTGTCTAACTGCCAAGGTGTATCACAGCACATATACTGAGGGCAGCACAAACATCGGTATTCAAGAAATCTACTAGTCACCAGAAGTCATAAGTGCATCTTCTTCAAACAAGTATCTAAGAGCATAAACCAGAGCATAAGTACAGAAACAAACTAATACGAATACAATAAGTGCAACAAACTAATATGAATACACTAAGTGCAACAAACTAATATGAATACAATGAGTGCTAAGTGGAAGTCTCAGGGTAGTACTTCTTGAGGAGGTGAGTTTTCAGCCTGATGAAAGATGGGGCAGCGACTCTGCTGTCCTGACGTCAGTGGGTAGTTCATTCCACCACTGTGGGCCCAGGACAGAAAAAAGCCGTGACCGGGTCGATCGGCCGCAGGGACCTCTGAGCGATGGGGCAACCAATCGCCCTGAGGCAGCAGAGCGGAGTGGTCGGGTGGGGGTGTAGGGCTTGACCGTGGCCTGGAGATAGGAAGGAGCTGTTCCTTCCACTGCCCTGTAGGCTAGCACCAGAGTCTTACACTGGATGCAAGCTCTTACAGGGAGCCAGTGTAGAGAACGGAGAAAGGAAGTTGTGTGGGAGAACTTGGGGCGATTGAACACCAGACGAGCTGCAGCTTTCTGGACAAGCTCCAGAGGTCTGATGGCCGATGCCCGGGCTCCGGCAAGTAGTGAGTTGCAGTAGTCCAGGCGGGAGATGACAAGAGCCTGGATTAGCACCTGCGCCGTCTCATCAGTGAGGAAGGGGCGAATCCTCCTGATGTTGTAGAGCAGGAATCTGCAGGAGTGTGTAACCGATGAAATGTTTGCTGAGAACGACAGTTGGTCATCCAGGGTCACTCCCAGGTTCCTCGCAGTGCGGGTTGACATCACCACGATATCGTTAATGGTGATGGACAGGTCTCGGTGTGGGCAACCCTTCCCCGGAAGGTTTTGTCCAGGTTGAGCTTCCGGTCGTGTGTCGCCATCCACTTCGAGATGTCAGCCAAGCACGCAGCGATGCGTGCCTCCACTTGAGCACATAAATAAAAAAAGGTGCCTGTGGACTGTAGGTCCATCCTACTCATGGTGCTATCTCCACTGGACCACGTGGCTGCAGAACTGGGAGGCCTGATGCTCAAACAATACAGTCCCTCCTACCACTGTACCCATTGTACTGTACTTCAGGCCACCCACTGGCGCTGACCTCCTCTATCTCCAGCTCCTACTGTATCGCTAACTATAGCACACAAGGATTGGAAGGTTTTGTTTACAATGCTAATCCCCAGGGAACCAGGCAGGGAAATAATATGGTGGTTTTATTTTGGTTGGAAATAGCCAGGGCGTGGGTGTGTGGGCGGCAATACTCAGTGTATGGGATCAATAGGAGAGGCGATCACTCAGGTTGGTGGACTCCACAACAAATGGAGGGTTTTCTCTGACAGGAGGAGGAACAATAGAGAGAGGAAGGTGATGCAGGAGGAAAAATGGAGAGAGATGGTAAGGTAAGGTGATGGAAAATATGGGGGTGAGAAAAAAGAATAAAGGATGTGGGTGTAGAAATTGAGGGACAGGAAGGAAAGCATGGAGCGAAGAAAATAAGCTGGGAGGAAATGATTTAGAACGCAAGAGAGTAACACTTTCCTGGGATAAATATGGGTATAAAAGGAGAAGAAACAAGGGAAGAGACAGGGTGAGGGAGTGATAGATGGAAGAAGTCATTTATACCTTCTCATCATGATAAGTTGACAGCCAAGAGTATAATGCTCAACCCACTTCCCCTCCTCCAGAGATGAGCTATGGTAGTGCTGGAGGTGCTGCTATTTACTGTACTCAGACAGTCTCACTTCTTCAATCACCGGGAAGTAAAGTCTAATAAAGAGTCTTCATTTCCCACATCAACGCTAGAAGTTTGTTGTTTTGCTCCAGGAAACAAAACAGAGAAGCAGTCCTTTTTTTGTCTCCCTCTCTTTTGGCAGCCGTTTCCTTCTGTTTTATTGCAGTGTTGACTAATGTGGGCGTTCTTCATTGTTTGCCTCGCAATGATTTATTAAGACATAGGATCGGCTAACAAGACCGTCAATGCGGGCGTTGTCGTCTCTTAATTTGATCTATTCATCTTATCGCGGTGGAAACCAAAAACGCAGCTCATTGCATTCAGCCCACACTCGGAAAAAAATAAGAACTTTAGACGAGACAGATTTGCACAATATGCTTTTCAGCTTCCTCACAACAAAGAATGAAATTTAAGAAGTTAAAATGGAACTAATTATCCAGAGAGGGTGAAAGTGTACAGAAAGAGTATGAGCATGGGAGACGCTACACACTGGAAAAAAGAACTGTGAAGAAATAACGTAAGAGAAACCAGTGAGTGAAAGAAAGCCAATGAGAAGAATCTGGGCAGAATTTGAGCGGTGTGGATGAGAGAGAGAGGTTTAATGCTCTGGGCTAAATGGGTCTAACTGGGTCACTGGTTGGGTGTGATTACAGTAGTCAGGAGCTGGAGGCCTCCCCCCTTTCTCTCACTGCTCGTCTCTCTCTCTCTCTCTCTCTCTCTCTCTGTGATGATGAGGTGTATCTAAGGAATCCTGTTAGTAGCAATGCTTCAAAGCTCTCCACACACTCCTGTGTTTCTTCCCTATTCATTCTCACCGCCTCATGTGTACAGCTCTGTATGCTAGGCCACACTGATCAGTGGTTTCCCTTTTGGTGTACCACAAAAATATGTTTTTGAACAGGTCCAACTGAAATCACAAAAGCCGTTTCCTTTTTGCACTCAAAATCACGCCAAAAGTGATTCTCAGATTACAGAATGAAATGGAGACACGGCAGAAAAGGCTGCCTCAGCCTCTAAAGCCTCTGAGCGGGCTCACCAGTGCAGATAATTCTCTCTCTGGCATTTTTGCACATGCACTTTTCAGTGCAGACCTGTATGCTGTAGCAGGAAAATAACATGCAATTCGACTTCCTTGCATCAAAATGCGGCTTAATATTGCATTTGTTCTCCACCATTGTTAACAGGTAGCACCGGGCAGAGAGTATAGCAGAAAGAACAAAAACATTGAGCAAATGCAGCGGTTGGAGCAGGATTTTGGCGGCTGGAGGTTGGAAGTTCAAGCCTGGCTACTGAATGATTGGAGCGATTATTGGAGTGGGCGAGGTGGGCCGGCTGCGTTTTGAAGAATGACCATCCAGCTCCCCTATTGAGGTGTCAGAGTGATTGATTGGTTGTGAGACCGAGCCCTAATGGCTTCATCGGCCCCGGGCCGTACTTCTGAAGAGTGCACACACGTATAAAAAACATCTAAGTCTGCACACACACACACACAACAGTGACCTGTATACCTCAGTCTCATTGTGCTACATTCACTTGAACCCAGACATCTAGCACTCGTAATAAGTCTCTCCAAAACACACACTAATTAAATAAAGTTGTCTCAACTGAACTCTGTCGCTTCTTCCCCCTCTTTAACTGACTGCTCTCTCTCTCTCTCTCTCTCCCCATTAACACCCCTTCATGTGGATTTGTTTCTTTTTTAGTTCATTCTCTTGTCTCCTCTAACTACTAACTCAAGGCTACTTCTCTCCCAGCTCACACTTTCAAGTCTTAACAAGCCAATTAACAGCTTTGATTCCCCCCAACACATACCTCTCCCCACCTTTTTTTTCTTTTCTGGAAGCTTGGCCTATTTTCCCAATCGTCTCAGAAAATTACCTCCACTCCTAAACACTAATGCCTCCAATCTTCTTCCCTTATTTCCTCTTACCTTCACTCAGTCTTCGCCCCGTCTGCTTTCTATAGTTGCTGTAGAGAATGCAAGGGCATGCTTGCAGTTTTTTTAATGACTGGCCTGAAGGCATATCATTGTGTTGGCATTTTCTGCTTGAAAATTGTTCTGCATTTAATGGCAGCTCTGAACTAACACATCTTAACAAGCACAAGCAGCTTGTCAGGTGACACCGACTGGTGGAATAGCAGTTGGGAAAGGAACACAGTTTCTCCTTCACACATGGAGGAGCCAACTAGTTTAAGAGGTCTAACAAAAAGTCCCACTGAAAACACATCGCTATCTTTAAAAATGACCCATATAAGTATTTTGTGATCTGGCAGCCTTTATCTGCAGGATTGATGTCAGTGCTGTCCAAAAACCATTGCAAAAATGAGTCATACTAGTTGTTGATTTGCCACCACTATGGCTAAGGTTAAGGACAAAAACCCATTTGGATAAGGTTGAAGCACATTCATGGTCACGGCTAAAAGAAGCAGGAAACCTATCCATCCATCCATCCCAATCATACTCCTTCTAGGTTCTATAGCTCTTTATCAACACAATGCATCCTCTTATGATTGAGTTATTTTTCATGTGATTTCCTCTGAATGTCAAGCAACGTGAGTGATCAATGTGCCTGTG